AATTATTTAGTAGATAAAATCATGTTGGGAAAATGCAAGAATCTGTTCTTAAATATCTTTTAACAACTTTTTTTCTAATTTTATTGCCTAAAATGAATTAATTTTAAATTACAAGCAGTTAAACTCAAATAAAAATACAGTTTTACCAAAACTATGGGTTTTTGACAGAGGGTTTTTTGACATGACGGTAAAAACCATGGTATAAACCGGTAAAAACCGTCATGTGTCAAAAACTTGCCAACCCTGATTCCGGATATGGTACTTTTCTCTTATGTACTAATTTGTTTAAAAAAATAAAGCAGATGCATATTTTGTAATGCTGGTTATTTATTATTAACTTCATAAAATACCATTCTACAAGAACATAAATGCAATGAAAAAACCAAATAATATACTTTTTTCAACATTTTAAAATTGATTTTGTTATATTTGCAAACCTATTTGTTGCAAAAGTTCTCAATAGTTTGCCATAGGGTCGTCTGATAAAGGAGTTACTACTAATTCAGTAAAAATTCAATGCATTACGTAATGGTATTAAAAATATTCTGAAAAAGTTTTCCCGCTTCAATTTATTAAGGAATTCGAATAGGATTTAATACCAACAGCCTTAAACAAATTTGACTTATTTCCAAAATCAGTATACGTGATAAATAGGGTCAGGTTAAAAACCTTTTGCTCCTTTTTATTTGACAAACCAGGTAGTCAACTAGTCAGGTTTCGCTGTAGTTTTATTTGGTCAAACTTATTAAATTTTATTCTAGGTACTGGAATTCAGAATCAATCTTTAACCTATTTTAACGTAATTAACTAAATGAGCTATTTTGTTAGCATATAATATGAAATTGTGTATTTCAGACTTCCCACAGCAGCCCAGTTGAAAGTGGTTTTCCTTCTCCCCTTCACAAGCAAGTCATCTTAGTATCAAAGGAATCACTTGTTTTAAAGGATGTCACACTTCCTCCCAATCCATTCCGATGTGTCAGGACAATGAGAGATAGAGGCAAATATTATTCATTTAATATATCTTTCTAGTATTACAGTTGTAGAGGCCACATGTAAATATTTCTGAAATTTCTACCAATGTCAATAACTCAATAATCTCATTTTTCCATCTTCCTTTTTGCAATTCTTTTTCAAAATTATAAAATTTTTTATGATTGCAGTTGATTTTTTTTTCCAATTCGGAGACATTTATTTTCCCTTACGACAATACTCTAGAAGATTTGTGTAACACAATTCTACAAATTTTATTTCTCCATGCAACCCTATTAACTTTTACAGTTGTAAACAAGAAAAATTGAAAATAAAATAATAATAGTGATTAAAAAAATTAATAGTGATTATTATTTGAATCTTTTGTTCAATTTTATTTTTTCAGAAAAAGATTTTTAACTAACAGAAGGGAGAGATTAAGATGCATTTAATTGAATCAGCATTGCTTATTAATTTTACTTAATGAAAAATCAAGCAAATAAAAGGAAGCAGTTTTACAAATGAAGAAATTTCTTTAATTTAAATATCTCTCAATCAATTGAGATTTGTAAACACTTTTCTTGAAAATTGATTAACTATTATGTGTGGTTTGAAAATTAGTGTCTACATTATGATAATGAATGAATTTAAATGATAATGAATTTGATGATGATAATGAACTTAAAGGATAATGAACTTAAAGGATAATGAACTTAAAGGATAATGAACTTTAAATGATAATGATAATTTTGTCTATTTTCTGCATGTATGTTTTTTGCCAAAATGTTTAAATTTTTAAAGGAGATTTTTTTTTCATTGTACTCAGAGTGTTTGTCATTAAAAAATTTTATAGTCTGTAAATATGTTTGTTCTAGGAAGTTTTATCTTTAGTTTGTATGAAATAAGAAATATAATAAAGTTTAACTGTTGACAGGTTTTTGAATATTGTTTACAATGAAATATCTTATTCAAGTTTTGTAAAGGTTCTAGATTTTTGAGCCTTGATATCTTTTTATTTGTTACTGGGTTTTTAAAGTTTTTATTTTTAAATATTTTGTTTTATGTTTTCAATTTGTGAATTTTATAAATGTGGATTGCTTATGGAGGCAACAACATAATTTTGAGCTATAAAGACTATTCAAGGAAGCTCTGATATCTACAAATACATCAAAATAAGTCGCTTAAAGCTTGCGAGTCACACCTGTCGAATGAGCCCTTCTTCCTTGACATAGAACTGAATTACAAACTAATTGGAACTAGAGCTAGAGGTAGGCCTAAAACCAGATGACTTGACAGTGTGGAAGATGAAAATCCTAAGAATTACTAACTTGAGAATAATCGCAATGAAAAGAACAGAATGGAGGAAGGCTCTAGCCCCCAAAGGGCTGTCATGCCAATAGAGGAAGAAAAAGAATTTGTGAATTATCTGTATCAATTGACTGTTAATTTTTTAAACAGTGATTTAATATTTTTCTTTTCAGAAAACCTGCACAATATCCTAATGGACACTACAATGTATCCTAAACCACCAGAAAGAGCTGAACCATTTAGAAGCTTTCGTTGTTGCAGGTGGTCCCCAAGAGGAGCTGCGAAGAATAATAGGTAATATTCTCTTATTCTTTGTCACATGTTTAGTTTGAGCCACATTTTTTTTCTACATACGATTGTTGTTATTTATGTTCTTCAGTCTTATGAATTAAGCTATGCGTGTATAATTTTAATGAAAAAAATTCTGAACTACTTTGGACAGAAATAATTTTTTGGTCTCCTTTAAGTTCACATTAATGAGGTTCAATTCTATAATTAAATACAAAAAAAAATGTTTATATTAACTAGTATGATTTTGTAATTATTGCAATTTCATAATTACGATTATGGTCTTGAGGTTCAGTAAAAATTTCAGTATTTGAAAATTCTTGTAATAATTTGTTTAAAATTTTTTTTTTCCCCTTTAACTATCAAGAGTTATGAAACTTGTTGTTTTCCACTTACCTACAATTATTTTTTTCTACTCCTTAGGCATTTTTTAAAATAATAAATAAAAAACAAAAACAATTTGATAGACAGAAGAAATAAAAAAAGTGCTAAGATTTCTTATTTTTCTTCCATTCATCCAGCTATCCTGAAACTTAATCTTCTATCCATATCAAAAAGCAAAAGAACATATAGATAAATAAGAAATGCGGTGAGCAAAACTTTTTAGTGGTTCAAATGCAGGATGACAAAAAGTTTGTAAGACTAATTTAACCAAAAATTAAATGATTGATGTCTAGTAATCAATTTCATTTTATCATTTTATAATGAAATAAAAAATTTCAGTGTTGTATAATTTTTAATATAGTGTTACTATTTTTTATTTAAATGTAAATTCTTGCATATTTTTTTTCATAACCACTAACTATATATATTTCTGTGTTATTGTGACTGTACTTCTGATTACAGATAGATAGTTTAGAAAATTAGCTCCTCTGCTTTTAGAGAGATTATAAATATTATGTAAGATAAAAATTAAAAAAAAGGGAGTTGATGAGCAGTCTAAAATTTATCAATCAGCTCTCACACATTTGGTTACTTTTATCTGACTAAGATGTTAGTATATTATGCAATAGGTTCAAAAAAATATTTATAGATAACCTTCAACTTTGCATACTATTTTAACTCTGAAATATAGCTCTATGTTAAAAATCATAGGCTTCCGCTACTGGCGACACTATTTTGGATGCTCAACTTTACATGGCGTTTTGTAGTGCAAAAGCTTTAGAAACTTGAAATTACTAAGGTGTGTAGAGTATAAGGAGTACAATGGATTAAAAAAAATATTCAATAATTGTTGGAGATTGATTAACTATTAAACAATCTCCATTCAAAATGCCATTCAAGCCACTCTGTAGACTACAGAAATGCAACTACTGAGTTGAAATTTGATGTGCCTACTGAAAGTGCATTTTTGTTTATGAACTCAACATGAGTTTTTTTTTAAAAATTTCAATTTGCTCAAAAGTTATTCATATTTTAAATGTTTTTCCGTAATTTTTTTACCTATTATTTTTTTTTTACTTATTTTTCTTTAAATAATTAGTATTTTTCAATCAGATATGTTATACTGAAATTTTTAAAAGTGTATATAACTCAAGAGTCAAGAAAGGAAAACTGTTTCTAATTTGAACTGTTATGTGATATAAGACTATCGTTATATATTGTCAACAAATAAAATTACTTCTCATTTATTACCTTTTAGTGTGTTGATCTTGATGTATTTTTTAATTTAAATATTTTTTTAAGTACTGTTGATTGATTTTGAAATCTAGGTAATTGTTCATTTTTTTATGATTAACATATTAACAAAATGTTCTTACATAAATTATTTTAATTATTTACTTAACAACTATTATTAATTAAATCTATTATTAAAAAATTTTTCTAATCTTTTATCAACTTTATTTTTTAAAAAAAAACAATGATGAATAAAAACCCAGCATGAGGCAGGTGATCGGGAGCTCTTAGTCTCTAAAAAAAAGGGGGCATTTAATTTTCACTGATATAGCATTATTCGTTTATTAGCTTCCATTTTTTAATTGTTCTTTTAATATTCTTCTGTTTTTTCCATCTGTTTTTAAAAATAAAGAAAAATTTTGCTCATAGTTTTCTCTTTCTACTTATTTTTATTTTTGTTCGCAATTTTTAAAGTTCCATAACAATTTAGGTGTTTATTAGCTACTTTGACTATGGATCACAGACTTGAGCTTTATGAAGAGATAGACAAAGAATGGAAAGTAATTTGTGACATAACTGAAATAATAAAGAGGAATAATAGTCCAGTTTCTGAAGAAAGAAAAAATGAAGAAAAATCACCAAAAAAGGGTAAAAGAACAAAACATTTTAAACGAACTCCCAGAACGAAAAGAAAGCATCGTGATAGCTCTGAGGAGGATTATGAACCTACTATAAAAGAAGACTCTGGATACTCTAATTCTTCTCTTAAAACTCTTAATATTTCCGACACATCAACCATCGATGCACTTAGAGAAGAGATTTTTAGAATGGCTCCTATTGGTATGATGCATAATCATTTTTTTTTTTGTTACATTGTAATTTTTTTATTTCTTTCATTGATTGATTATTTAAATATAGTTGTAACTTTAATTCTTTTTATAAGTAAATATTTAAATAATAATTAAATTTTAGCTTTTGCGTTGTAAATTAAATTCAACTTCTCTCGGAGGGAAAGACGCTTTGTTTGAATTATTACTTTTGCCAGCTAAAATTACTTAAATATTTGCTGAAGCTATAACTCTCTATACAATTGCATATTGGCCATTAAAAGTGAAAAATTTACGTATGTGTGTTATTTTATTTGGACACTATTAAGTCAGATTGCATTGCTAATGTAAAATCTGTGTAGGTAATATTTTTACAAAGTCTTTTGAGAGCTACTTTGTTATTGCAGAAATTATTTTCTATTTAACTTCCTAATAAAATTATTCTGTATATATCATAATAATGAAAATTTACAGCCGTTTTAGAAAGTTTTGTTGTGAGAGCTGTTCATTCTTGTAAGAGAACAACTATCTAAATAAAAAATTGGAAGTTTTGCACTTTTTGGAAAGATCTTTGGAGCTATTCTGATATAAAAATTTGACTGAGGAATGTTCTTAATATATTCAGCATTAAATCTAATGTGATTTTGTTTTGCACAAACTATTAGCAGGAGAATCAAGATGTTTTGCAGCTGTGCTCTAAGCTGTGCACCGTGTCTCTTTTTCCGAAACTTCAAATTAGATACCTAAAAGGACAATATTAAATTAGAAGTGGAAGAAGAAGATTAGTATTTGGTGGTAGTAGTTATCTACAAAACTATGTCTGTTCAATATTTTAGGTATATATTTCAATATAATCCAGAGGACCAAGTGTGTGTATATATATATACAGTCAATTCGCTATAACTCGAAGTACAATAACTCGAATATTACTATAACTCGATTTTTTTATGAGGTCCCGACCCTTTTATCTTCAATTTCATGTTAATTATTCTCGATTACTCGAATTGTACTCTATTTAACTCGATTTTTTTTTTGGATCTTTTAAAGCAAGAAAAAAAAACCAGGAGCTGATATCTTGCCCCTTCCTTTGCAAAACACGCACAATGTCCTTCGCATTCTTCATGGAGAAGCTAAAGCTGTCCCTCTTAAAGTATGTGAACAGTGATTAAATGAAACGTTACCAAATTTACTTCAAGGATACAGTTAAAATGATGTTTTCAATATTGATGAAATGGTTTTATTTTTTAAATGTCTTCCAAATAAGACTATGACATTTAAGGATGAAAACTGCTCAGGGGGTAAAATGAGCAAGGAACGTTTGACTGTCCTAGTTGGAGGAAATGCGTCTGGGACAGAGAAATTGCCCTTACTTGTTATCGGAAAATACCGAAATCCCCGATGTTTCAAGAATGTAAAAACGTATCCTTTGGATTACAAGTCTAACAAAAAGTTTTGGATGACATCAGTTTTATTTGAAGACTATGTAAGAAAATTGGATCGGAAATTCTTCGCTAAAAAAAGAAAAGTGATACTCTTTATGGATAAATGCACAGCGCATAGTGATCTACCTAATTTGAAAGCAGTAAACTTGCAGTTTCTCCCGCCAAATACAACAGCAAAGTTGCAGCCGATGGACCAGGGTATCATAAAGTGCTTCTAACAGTCTTATCGTAAATGGCTTGTCAGAAAAATGATCTTAAATATTGTAAGCATTTAGAAGATTTGTAATTAATAAGCATTAATTAAATAATGCGACAATATTTTGAAAGTTCAAAACCGAAACTAACTAACTAACTTCTGATATGTCGAAGTTTTTCGTCAGTCCTATCAGATTCGAGTTATCGAGAATTCACTGTATATTGAAAAAAAAGTTTTATATTAACTATTAATAATTTTTTATTAAGAAGGTGTTCAAACATTCCTATTGCAAATTTTCACTTGATGTTTTGAACATTTTCCAGTATTGTATTTAATTTTTTTTTGGACATTTAATGTTCAAAAAGAAATAATAAAAACATATTTTTAGATACATTTTGCATTAATTACTCTGTCACTTCAAAAGATCAAACCTTTTTAACTGAAAATCTTGAAGCGAAAATGAAAATTAAAACAGTGATGATTATCTTAATGTTTTCAATCTGTTGAAATTAATGTTGGAGTAAACAGAATTGACGTGAATGTAAAAGTTGAGAAAAATGTGGTAATTCTGACCATTTTTAGAATTCTTATATTTTGATTTTTAAAATTGTATGTAAATAGATTTTTTAAAATTGTAATTGTTATTGTGAAATTTTAAAATTGTAAATAACTATCACAGCCAATTTTGTTGGGTCTAGTTTTCAGTACATGTGAAAATTTATTATCAAAAATTTTAAATTGGGAGAAAATTACAAGAGAATTTATTTTTCAAGGAATAAAATTATTAACTGCTGTAAAAATAATCGGTTTGAACTAAAAATTATTTATATTATTACTACTAAATTATTACTATTAATGATTACTACCAGGGTTCTTGCTGTCCTAAAATGTCCTAAAAAGTGCTAAAATTTCCCCCCAGCATTTTTAGGGCCTAAAAAGTGCTAAAATTTCTTCTGAGTGCTAAAAAAGTGCTAAATATTTTTTATTTTGGCGTTTTGAAAATTTTTTTGAGTGATCGGATTCCTTAAATCGGTTTCCCTAAATCCTTAAATTCTGTTGCCTTCAGCTCTCCTGCTGCCTCCATCTTTTTAGAAGATTCTTGGGCTTTGGGGAAAGAAGTTCAAAAAGATTGTGACAAAATTAAGCTGCAATTTGCATCATGTATAGATTAATTATTTATGTGATTTTTACTTCATGAATCGTGAAACACTTTATTTGTATTTTTTTAATATCATGTATAGATTAAGTATGTTATTTTTACTTTACATCAGGTGCTAATTTTTTTTCCTTAGTCCTAAAAAAGTCCTAATTTTTTTTGAAATAATTGAGCAAGAACCCTGTACTACTTATAATACTAAATTATTATTTCTTATATTACTAAATTATTTTTTACTAAATTGTTATTAAATTATTATTACTAATTATTTAAAATTTGCATTAAAACTAGTAGTTCTGTTGTGCATGTTATATTATTATTTTTTAAAAAAAATTGTTTTATATTGTAGAAATGATATGGACTGGTATGTTTGGGTTGCCATCTTCTAATCTTAGCGACTGCAGTGAATACTGTTACCTTATCGTAGCTACGAGAAGTGGACACATTCAGTTTTGGAGAGTATCGCCTAATGATGGAAGAGTGTAACTAAAATGTTTTTATATTTTTCGCTAATTGATTAAATGGATACTATTTATGATTGACAGAGATGATTGTGCTCCGGAAAAAATTCGGATTTCCAGATTTTCGCTGACCGCGATCCTGAAATTTCCGGAAATCCAAAGTCCAGAAGTTTACAGAAATCATCGATCACATTTATGTATAAAAATTCTTCTATATTTTATTTAAAAATATTAGAACTAGAATTAATACTTGGCATCTCTTTCATTTGTAAATATATATATTTCTTTGGTAGAATAATAAATGTGATTAGAGATAAAATTAAACTAAATACTTAATTATTAATTTCACTTATGCTGTATATAATTTATATGGAATTTCACGTTGTGAAAATATCAATGATTTAAATTCATAAAGACTTGTTAAAGATTATAAGATTTATTAAATTTTTGAAATGCGGGATAAATGATTTTACTCAGGAAATTTTCAGAATTTTTTAATTGGGCTCACAATCACCCCTGGATTGATCGCTACTATACAATTAACCCTACTTATTATGACAACTCTTAGAAAAAGTTTAAACTAGATCAACTTAATTAAATACTATGTCCACTCACCTAATGAAAAAGAACCACTAAGCAGGGTTCGTGATTTTTTTGATTTTTTTAAAAAAAATCAAAAGAATCAGATTTTTTTGATTTAAATCAGATTTTTTTTATTTTTATTCAAATACACTGTAAGAACTTTAATTCATGATTAAAAAAAATTATAAATGTTTAATCAAATTAACTTAATATTAAAACTATGTTGTAACAATATTTTAGAAGCTCTAACTAAAATAATTTTTCATTATAATACATGGCTTTGAATGCATAGCAACTGTTTTGAAAGAAATGCATGATTAAAATTTAAAGACTAGATTAAATAGAGAATTTAAAGAATACTTCAGGGGTCTGTCTGGGTTTTTCTGAGAGGTACCTATTTTGTGAAAATTAAAAATTATATTAAAAAATCAACACAAATATAGTAAAAATATGGATTTATCGTTTCTTACGAGACACAAAAATAAAATTTTAAGAAAAAGTATTTTGTGTGATTATTCTATCATTTTTCCTAAAGTTGAATTTGTAAAGGTACCGTTAAACGGTAGTAAATTTGGCTTGGACAGACCCCTGTACTTTAACTATTAAAACAAAGTTTCAGTTAGCAAACCATAACTTTAATTTAAAATTGTGATTTCTTTTTTTTCCTCTTGATTTTTAAAATGACAAAATAAATGTAGCAGACTGTGTTTATAAATGTAGTCATTCATCAAATAATAAATAAATATTTAATCTATATATTTTTATATTAAAATATTCATTTTTAATTCTATATCAAAATAGATAAGTTAAGCTAAAAAAAAATTAGAAAATCTATGTACTCATTGGAATTTTTTTTCACAAAATTTCTTTATAGAAAATCAGATAATGTCAAAGATACTGTAAACATATTATGAGAAAAAAATACCAGTTAATAACCCTACTGCATCAAATAGACTTTGAAAGAGTTTGAAAGGGAAGAATGACACTATATTTGGAAAAATACATCTGAATTCATCAGCCCTCTTTTTTTCTTTTTCTGTTTTTGGCATATTAGGGTAATTTCTTTTTAACATAACCTCAAGCTTCAGAAATACACATTTTCCACCAATAAAATATGATGTAGATTTTAATTCACGCTTTTTCATTCAAAAGGTAGAATTTTAATTAACATTATTTGTATTATTTTTTGAAAAATATTCATGTTTATTAATTACTTTCTACAGCTATGCAAGTCTATATTAAGACAGCATTAAATGTTTACTTTAATCTGTACTTTCAATCTCAAGAATCAAAACATTTTTAAAAATGTAATTTCAAATGTGTTGGAATTGAACACACACCAAAAAAGTAATTTCATTAACTAAAATTAATTAATGCAGCAATTTATTTAAATTAAATTTTAATACTAAGAAAAGAAAATAATAAAAGTATCAAAAATTTAAAACACTGTTTTTTGACTTTTAAAATCAATATATATAGCTGAAAAAAATTTTTTTGATTTAAATCAATGATTTTTTTAAAAAAATCATTTGATTTAAATCGTGATTTAAATCAAGCTGATTTAAATCAACAAACCCTGCCACTAAGAAACCATAAATGTTTACTATGCAAATCATGTTCGAATCAGTTAATAATTTTTTTATATATATATTTTTTTATATGAAACTTGTAAAAAGTTCAGTAAATGAAAGGGTGTAACTAGAAATTGTTTGGAGGTACCTAGCCTAATTAAGACTCACCCTTTTAGATGATGCTGAGTTTGTTGTGCTTGCAAGTGCTAATTATCTAAAGATAATTAGCCACAAAAAAAAACTCAGTATTCTGGACTTGATTTACTGGAACAGTTTCATGAAAGCTATGCTCTCACAAGCTGGATAACCTCATTGTCAGAAAAAAGTATCTTTAGATATTGAAGAGTTCGAGCAAGCTGCGAAGCCTCGTCCTGTGAAGGTCTGAATTTCCTCATCCTTTTCTCATACTTGGCTGTGTCTTTGCCATTTTTGTCCATTGTGTGATTCACAGAGTTTTGGGTTGTAGCCTATCCATGAACTCTGCAGCAACATCAGATACATGATATAGCTCGTGGTTGTTTAAGAACTTCCGTTTGCCTCTGTGGCCAAAATGGTGAGAAGTCATGATGCACAGAGCTTGGTCACAGCACAACAGTTCTGAGTAAAGTCCAAAGGCTGAAGATGATATGGTGGTGGGGGAATAAATGAAAGGAATTTTCAGCTTTATCCTTATTAAATAACAGTGACTCTGAATATTCTCTTGTTTGTTAAGCGTGAGCTCGATATAGGATTTTAAAATGTGAGGTTGTTTTTTTTATTCTGAGTACAAGCGATTGCCTGAATTGTTTTCTCATAGTAAAAAAGTGCTAAACTAATTTGGATAAAACAATATACTTCAATTAGAGTTTAGAAATTAACGGAACATTTGATAGCAATGTAACCTGTTTTTTAATTTTAATATATTAAAAAGTATCATTTAAAATAAGGCACGGAGACTGATAAATGCATATTAAGTAATGATATGGTTCCATGCAACCATTTTCAATAAATAACATACATCCAGATAAATGCAAAGGCCATTTATTAACACAAAAATAACGCACCCAAGACAACAAGCATTTAAGAAATTTTTGGAAAAAAAAGTATTGTTAAATTTATTCTATATTTTAAAAAGAAATGTATTAAAAATTTAAAAAAAAACATCATTTCTAGAGCGAATTATCTTTTAAACTTCTGTGATTTCAGAATTTTTTTTATTTTATCAATTTTAAATTCTAGCTGGAGCAAACCAGTCTTTGACGAATTTTTTTATTTCAAAATGAGAACAGAAAAATCAGGAGTATTTATTTCCTTTTTGATGAACAAGAAAAGTATCTTTAGAATGTAATTCTGCAGAAAAAAAATAAGAAAAAATTATTTGCTTTTGTATTTTTTCCAGCTATTTTATTGCTCCAACTCTTTCTTTACTCTGTTTTTTTTTTAAATTTAAAATCTATAAAAATGAAGATGCAGAGTATAACAGTTTTGGTCATACCTATCATTTCAATTAATGTTATTATAATGCTTTTTTAAATTCATTCTTGTGTTATTGTTGGAGAAAATAGTAACTTTTGTTAAGTCATGAAAAATTCTTGGAATTAGTCATGAAAAGTCATGAATTTGAAAATCTAAAATGTAGCAGATACCCTGCATATAAAATTATTTAAAAAATTTAATACTTTACGACCAATTTATTATTAAAATTTTGTTTAATTGATTCTGAATTTTGATACTTTCATCTCAATGAAGCTCCATATAATATATTCACGTTTTAAAACTTTCAGAGTTACTGTAGCTCATGAGTGGGACACTGGTTTAGGACAAATAACGACTATTTGTTGGCAGCAGACAAGTCCCACTGGAGGTAAGCTGTTTGATTTTTTTTAAAAGTTTGGTATCTATTATTCATAATTTACATTATTGGTCTATTATTATAAGTGTTGAGTTATTTATTTATATTTTGCATCTCATTTAATTTTTCCTTCCACTTGTTCAATCACCTTTTGCTCCTTTTTGTTTTTGATATTTGTTTCTTTTTTTTTCTTTGTATGAATCTTAAGATTTATCTATAACTATATTGGTTTTATAGTTAAAATTACAATGTTAAGGTTGAGTTATAAAAATCATGCTTTTTGAGAGTTTTTGTAGTACAGTATACTTTTTTCATTGTATAAATCTTAAGATTTATCTATAACTATAATGGTTTTATAGTTAAAATTACAATGTTATGGTTGAGTTATAAAAATCATGCTTTTTGAGAGTTTTTGTAGTATAGTATACTCCCGATATCTTTAAGTTGAAGGGACGCTAATAAAAGTTCCAGATAGTGAGTTTTCAAAATAACAAGTACAGAACTAAATTTCTTCTAAAAAGTCGAAAAATATTTTTTTAAATATTACTCTAAAAAGTAGAGTCATGAAATATAGGAATAACTACTATTACATATGTATGTAATGATGATAGTTGACTATAAGTCTAAATACAAGAATGATAATTTTATTTTTAAAAGTAATACAAAAATAATTATGGCTTAATTAGGAAAGAATTGGTATACAATAAACTTACATTGTAAATTTTCCAAAAAAATGCATTTTCTATTTTGAAAATTTTGACATAACAAAGTTTTGAAAAGAAACTCTTCGACATAAGAATTCAAATTGACATTAGGTGGATATACTAATGTTAATAGTATATATTAGGTGGATATACAAAGTTGATTGCTAAGGAGAAAAAAATTTTTTTTGATATAACAAGGTTTTCAAGATATCGAAAGTATTCTGTATTTAGTAATACTAAACTCCATTTAATTATATTTTTGTATTTAGTAATAGTAAATTCATGCATAATATCATTAATATTAGGTATATACTTCTGTACAATTATGTGGATGTAAGAACACCTTAAAATTGCATTAATTTGAATTTTAATAACTTTATATGTATTATTCTACTTCTAATTACTGATATCTGGTTAAGAAAGTTGTCACCTAAGCTTTAATACCATTTATGCTACTAAGCAGTGTTGGCTACATTTAAAAAATGACTTGAAAGAAACTGTGAAAGAAAGCAAAACTGTGAAAGAAAGCAAGTTATGTGGTAAGCAGATTTTTTAGCAAATTTTATCATCATACTACATAAAATAAGCTAAAAAACTATGAATGTAAATATTTAATTGTCTCAAAATGTATTCTCCTTCTGAAAAATAATCAAGAGAAATGTTTAGTTAAAAGCTTGCCATGGTTCAAAATATTGACTAAACTATTTTAAACCAACGAAATATGGGCTATTACAAACTGTCTCAATCGTTAGTTTTTGAGTTCTAATATTTCGTGAATAATGAAACTAATTTAACTGAAATTTTTTTTTTTTTTTTTTTTAAAACCAACACATTTTCTAAGAAAAATCGATCATGTTTTATCCAAATATATATAAATTTCTGTATATATACAGTAAAAATATAGCATTTAGCTTTTTAATGCTTATATTTGGCTTAAGGTTTTTATTGGGACAATTTTGGTTAAAACTGTCATTCTTCAAAAGCCTTTCTACTCTGCTGCTAATCAATCTTCATCATATAGTTTATTTTTTAATGAAACTTTGACTTTGTACAGTGTGCAGGAAAAAATTAACACTTTTAATAACTTTTGATCTAATGATTGGATTTTCACTTACTAAGATTCAATCTTAATGGTTTGGCTTTCCAACTTTCAAAACGCTAATTAATTATCGAAAACGAGACTTTTAAGTTATGAAATCAGACACTAAAATATACTTTTTCTTAATAAACGTACCTTTATTCCCAACAGACTCGGATTTTTGACTCACAAAATAGAGGGATGGGGTAGCCGCAATCTGAAAAATATAGTACCAATTTTTATTACCTATTTATTATTTTATTAGGTCAAAATTTTAGATCCCTTATTATTAATATTATTTTTTGCACATTTATCCCATATTTGAATTCGTAACATAAAAATATTGTCTACACGAATTAATTAGCATATCTAGGGTTAAACTCTTTAAACCCTTAAGATTGTGTTCTAGTATGTGAAAATCATCATTAAATCAATAATTATTCTAAGAATTCCCTTTTTTGTGCACTGTAACTTAAAAAAATGTTTTATTAAATTTTAGGTTTTATTATGTGTGGAAGTTTGAAAGGAATATTAGCTTTCATACCCGTGAGTGTTCGGTTTGATGAGAACCAAGAGCCAAAGATTACACTCAAACAAATGTGCAAAGTNGAAACTAATTTAACTAAAACATTTTTTTTTTTTAAAACCAACACATTTTCTAAGAAAAATCAATCATGTTTTACCCAAATATATAAAAATTTCTGTATATATACAGTAAAAATATAGCATTTAGCTTTTTTAATGCTTATATTTGGCTTAGGGTTATTATTGGGACAATTTTGGTTAAGACTGTCATTCTTCAAAAGCCTTTCTACCCTGCTGCTAATCAATTTTCGTCATATAGTAGTTTATTTTTTAATTCAACTTTGACTTTGTACAGTGTGCAAGAAAAATGAAACACTTTGAATAACTTTTGATCTAATGATTGGATTTTCACATACTAATATTTAATCTTAATGCTTTGACACCTAACTTTCAAAAGGCTCATTAATTATAGAAGACTAGACTTTAAGTTATGAAATCAGACACTAAAATATAATTTTTCTTAATAAACACACGTTTATTCCCAACACTCTCGGATTTTCGACTCACAAAATAGAGGGATGGGGTTGCCACAATCTAAAAAATATAGTTTAATTTTTATTCCCTATTTATTTTTTATTAGGTCAAAATTTTAGATCCCTTAATATTAATTTTATTTTTTGCATATTTCCCCCATATCTGATTTTGTAACACAAAAATATTGTCTATACGAATTAATTAACATATCTAGGTTTAACTCTTTAAACCCTTAAGATTGTGTTCTAGTATGTGAAAATCATCATTAAATCAATAATTATTCTAAGAATTCCCTTTTTTGTGCACTGTAACTTAAAAAAATGTTTTATTAAATTTTAGGTTTTATTATGTGTGGAAGTTTGAAAGGAATATTAGCTTTCATACCCGTGAGTGTTCGGTTTGATGAGAACCAAGAGCCAAAGATTACACTCAAACAAATGTGCAAAGTATGGGATGAAGAAGACAGCATTTCTGTTGATCACATTTCTGTTTTGAAAGTAATTTTCATTTTTATCTTTAATGATTATAATTAATGATTAACAAGGATTATAACTAATGATTAACAGGGCCCTGATTAACAGGGATTATAACTAATGATTAACAGGGATTATAACTAATGATTAACAGGGCCCTGATTAACAGGGATTGTAACTAATGATTAACATGGATTATAACTAATGATTAACAGGGATTATAACTAATGATTAACAGGGATGTTGATGACCTGAAAATTCTTTAAAAATATCTTTTATAGATGCAAAAAAACTTTCTAATTCATCAAAAATGACATTAAAATAAAAAATGATGTCCTTAAAAATTAAAAAAAAAAACGAATTTTTTTTTGTACGAATAAAATATATAAATTGTAATTTGCATTTGTAGTGAAAAAAATAAGATAATAATTAAAACAAGTATGTAATTTATAAGTAAAATATAAATAAATATCTCATAAAGATAAATAGGAGTTTTACAAATTTTAGTTTCAATCCTAAAGAACAATCAAAATGGCATTGTATCATCAAATGGGTTTTGATATTCTTCATATTTAAAAAAAATTCCTGTTATCCAAAAGCAAATTCTTTACATCTTGAAAAACTCTGTCTCACATCGAGAGTGGTTATCTGAGGACATTTAAAATAGAAACATTGAATGCAAATATTTATGCTAGTTTTTATTAATGACATTAATTCACAAGCAAAATGCATTAAAAATGAGAAATATCATTCAAAATTCGTCAGAAAATTATAAAGAGGGGAAAAAAGTTTAAAAAGGGAAGAAGAAAAACGACAAAAAAAAAACAACATAAATAATGCTCTCTAAACGGAAAAAACAACCAAATATGCGAAGAAAAAATACATTTAGCATCAACATCCTTGCCTTTGTGATTAATATTTAATTGTAATAAACCTAAATCATTCTTTCAGATTGCCTTGAAAAAATATGTGATTATTGCAGCTAAAATGAATGCTCTTGTGGGATGCGAAATTATTCAATTAGATTCTTCCATAGTCATTAAAAATGTCGGACATTCCTATGGTCTTCATAGGTTACCAATCACAGGTATTCTTCTTACTTTTAAGAACATTATTCTAATTAAAAGATTTTCTTGTTCTGTGTTTTCCTCCTTTATTTTCATCAGTTTAATTAATTATTTATTATTTTCTAAACAAGAAATATGTTTCGTATTAAAGCCTTGTACTATTGACAATATCAAAAGAAAGTATCTACATGCAGTTTTAAATTTTGATTTATGTTTTAGCGTATTGTTAACAATAGTAATATATTACAATTGATATTGATAAGGGCTAGTTGTATGTATTATACAATACAATATAACTGCAGCTGAAAGCAATAATTCAAACTATGTGTCTATCTTTTATAGAAATTGAAATTATTTTTATGTCTTGTATAAACCAAAATTCAGCAGTTGATTCTAAAAACAATTGACTTAGCAACAATGACACTGATCGAAATACAAAACAGAGACATTAATTTTTAATAAGTATAACATTTAATGTGTGTCTAATTGTCAGTTTAAATTTATTAGGATCACATTCAACTAATTATATTCAGAAGCCTTATTTGGCTGTACTACCCATAAATTGTAATGATTCCAAAATAATAAACTTAAATGACATCTATCTTATTAAAATATATTTTTATTATTGTATAGAAAAAGTTATATTTTTTCCAGTGCTATCTTAAAAAAGTGTCAGTAGTAACACAAAAGTATCTATATACTTAAATAGTATTAATACTTTTTCAATGTTGTTACCGTGTACATCTATTTTTACAAATATTTTACAATTATTAGGAATCGATCTTTAACATAATTATGTGATATACATGAAACTTTTTTGTATAAATATAAAGACTCATTCTGAATTAGCCATGCAGAAATAAAATTCAATTCCGCGCATATTTTATTACTTAGTGGCATTTTTGTCGGAGTAGTTTATAATTTATTTGTTAAAATGAAGGATTTGCAACAATTTATGGGAATCATACAAAGCTAAAGCTTTTTTAGTTAATTAAAATGTCTCAGGAATTTTCTCATGAAAGATAAATATTTATGTACTACCCAGAAAACTGTAAGAAGGATCAAAATGTGTCTCCAATTAAGCTGCTTTGATGTGTACAATGAGCTATAAAAAAACTTACGAAAATTTTCTTTTGATAAGTTATATTACTATTTTAGCTTTTCCTTTAAAGTTATATTCTACTTTTAAAAAGTCACAGCGTTCTAGCAGAACGGCTCCAAAATTTGTAGAAGAGTTAAAAGGGTTCCCTGAGTTACGACTTTTTTTTTTAACCAGTCATGATTTTTGGAACCTCTAATTATATTTTCCACCCAATAACCCATTATTTATGTAATATTCTGGTTGATTCTATGAAATATAGTTAAAGTAAAATGGCAATTGTAAAGGAATATTGATTTCTTAATATATATATATAAATATANATTAATTCTTCTCACAACATTATATTGAATAAATTATGAAAATGCATGTTTTTTTATAAATTATCAAAACATACCTTTATGAAAAATTGCATTAGTACTTTACATAGTGCTTTTTAAATCAAAATAAAATAACTAAACTCGTTAATAAGGAAATATGTTTTATTTTCAATACTTATATCAGTTCTTTTTAGTTTTCATTTTAAAGGAAACATAATTCAGTTTATTTTAAGCTTATGCATATCCATCGAAAACAATTTCATAATTATACTAGATACAGTTCTAGCAGTGCAAATTTAACTGTCAGACATAAAAAACCTAATTTAAGATTATTACTGATAAAAGGATGAAAAAACTAATTTTATTTCATCATTCTCTAATTCTATTTCATAATCGGTGTTGAACGGCTGATCCAATTTTGAGTTTACAACTCTCAGTTTTCATTACTGTAGCCTTGTAATTTTTAACCGGAAGACAAGGAAACTATTGGATCAAGCATTATAGCAAGCAAGTCTTAATGGAGCACTTTTAGATGAAACTTATTGGAACCTTAAGAGATTATACATTAATTTTATTTGTGAGTCTAAAAATGACTTTAAAGCTAAACAAGTCAGGATATTAACAATTTAGTTACAAATTGAGGAAAATGTAAATACTGTATTTGTGAGATATTCTATTTGTAATATTTTTGACCAATTTTCAGGAATGACTGTGATAGATAATGCAATGCCTCAGTACAGAGTACTTATCACAACAATGGAAGGTCTTGTAATTGAAATTAAAGTTTCATTAGGAAATGATGGTAACTATTTTTCGTTAATATTTCAGGTACTTTTCCATTTTGGTGGCACAGGCAAGAAAGCCGCCAAAGTTACCAGTAGCAAATGAATTCAACTGTTTTATTTTTTTAAAAAATTCTTTTATTTTAATATTCTTTTATTTTTTGGTGATATCTAGTTTTTTAAATAAAAAATAAGTATTAAAATAGCTGAATCTATTTGTGTGACGAAATGGAAAAGACGCCTATAACTAACAAAAGATATTGCTATACAAACCATCAAATAGATTCTAAGCCTAATCTTCATCCGTTTTTCAATGTTTAGAAAATACAAAATCTAAAATGGATGGGTAGGAAACAATTAAACTACCACCACCCACATCCAATAACCAACAGTTTTCTAAAAGAATTTTTTTTTCAGAATTCGTATGTGTTAGTTCCATTGTTGTAGGTTGAATAGTTCCCAAGATTTAATCACAAAAAAACAACCTCCAGTGTTTTTCCAAATAGTGTAAATAAAAGAAAAAATTATGCAACACAGGCTGTTTTTAAACATTTAATTTTCTTACTCATTTTTTATAATTCTGGTTCATTTGAGTTTATAAAGCACCCTGTTTAAAAGCAGAACGGAGGAAACTCTGAAAGTTTTTCAATTTGGAAAAATCAGAGAAATGTCAGGGAGTTTAACTAAAATACTCCAAAAGATGGGGAAAATGAATTAATTTAAGTTTGGGTACTTAAAAGTGCAATAGTTTTTTTCAAACAAAATTGGTCTTTTAATAAATTAAAAGACTTTTTTTCATTTTACAAATCTAATGCATAGTAAGTTTGTTTATCTTATAATCATCATTGACCACTGACCCAGTTTTCGGTTTATGACTACTATTCTACTTCGTAGCCTTGTAATTTTGAACCCAATCCAGAAGACAAGGAAACTCAAGAATCAAGTATTGATAGAAATTTGCCTTAGAGAGGACTTTTTGATGGAACAAACCCCAATTTACATTACATGGAGAGGAAAACCTCCCACCGTTAGCCTGATGGCAAGGAACTCTAACCCATGATCCGTCTACCACTGAGGATCTTTTGTGTCAGCACTGTGGTTTGTGCCAGTTGTAGAATTCGTATCGATCAGCCACCCATGGGATTCGAACCCAGTTCACCTCATTGGAAGGCAGACACTCTATCTTCTGAGCCGCCACAGCTCAAATTTGTTTATTATAGTACGTGAACACTTATACTTTGCATAAGTATTGTGCATTTTATTTTTTAAATCATAACTGAAATATTAATAATAAAATTTAGGCCAGAAATTACATAAAAGAAATTGATAAAATTAATCCGGGAAAATGAGAGAATATTTCTTTTTCTTGATTGTTTGTAGTCATGCCAAACAAGCTAATTGTCTTGGTCTCTATGTTCTGTTTATAAACTAGTTGAACTGTATATTGTACGGTGCGCAAAAAAGTAAATGGATCACCCTGAATAACTTTTGATCTAATGATCAAATCTTTAGCTTCTATGACTCAATCTTAATGTTTCAAGAGGGTGATGCTAATTACTTAGTGCAGACGATATTTTAAGTTAATTATTAAATGTACTTTCTGTGAGTAAACATACCTTTTTTCCCAACGGATTTGGATTTCTAATCCCCAAAATATATAGGTTGGCCGCAATCTGGGAAATATGGTCTCAATAATTTGGTCAGAAGACTGATCCAAAACTTGGGTCCCATAATGTTAATTTTACTTTTTGGGTATTTCCCCATATCTTGAGAACTTTTTAAAAGAATTGAACATTTTTGCACATAATTATATAATTTTTTTATCCAAAGATAATTCCATACAAAAAATATATTTTAGTAAATACTTATTATTTTGTTAAATAGTTGAAAAAATTTAAATTGTAAGGTATGATATACCATTTTTTACATTTTGAGGTATGTAATTTTACATGGCAAAGTATAAAATGTGAGCAAATTGGGTTGAATGCTTCCTGAGAAACCGAATTTTAAAGAAGTCGTTTAAAATTCAATAAATTTGTTGAAATATGCAAAATGTAAAATTAAAATTAAAGGGTCCAAACTTTGAATCGCTCTGTAGACCAAACTATGGGGACCATATTCCCCAGATTGCTGCTACCCCCTATATTTTGGGGTCAAAGATCTGAATCTGTCCGAAAAAAGATGCGCTTATTTGGAGAAAGTATGTTTTTGTTTCTGTTTTCATAACTTATAATATTGTATGTACTAATTAATTTGTATATTTGAGGTCACCCCCTCGAACCATTAAAGTTGAGTTCTAAAACATGAAGATTCGATCATTGGATCAAAATTTATTCAGGATGTTTTTTTTTGCACACTGTAGAAACAAGTTAGCCATATATGTAAGATATTTATATGCAATAGTTTTTGCATACTCAAAATTCTGATTCTATGTTTTGCTTTTTATTTAGAAATAAAATTTCAGCATGAAAAGATATCTGTTGATCTGGATTTGAAGAATAATATGATTAAAGGTTTAGGAGTTTCACCCAATGGATTTCTATTTGGATTGGTTTTAAAGTAGGATGTGTTTTTTGTTAAATACTTCTTAATACTTCCTAATGGATGCTTAGCGAGATAAGATGATGCTAGATATAAATCATATGCACTCTACTACTGAAAGATTTTTTTTATTTTTAGGCAAATGAATTTTATTTATCTTTGGATTCCACCCACCAAAAGACATCTAGGGGATCTTTCCTTCTCTTATTCGGTTTCCCTTTTTAATTTTTGATCAATATTGGTTTAAATGGCTGCTAATACCCGTTAAGTTTGGTATAATGTAGCAGCATCAAATTTAGTTCTGTAGTAACTAAGCCTCTCGGGAGCGACCACTCTGTTCCACAGTAAAGTGGTCGTTAATGGAGGTTGGTCATTCTTAGGGTTCATCTCTATTGACTTCAAAATATTATAGGAGGTATAAGATTTTTCTCAAGCGATTTTAATTTTCCGCAGTGTCATACACTGTGGATATGCCGCTTCTGTTGGCATCATATAAACTGGATCGATGAATAAAATTCAGCGTCAATAAATAATATTTTAAATAAATAAACAATTATATTTTATGTATAAGTTTGCATTTAATTTTATATTATAAGAATTAATTTACTTTAAAAAAGGAGATGTTTGTTTGAGATGCTTAGTTTTTTCAAAAAAAAAAATTTTTTTTTTTCCTAAAAAAACTTTTTTTTTCTAATTTAACTTTCAACTTTAAAACTAAATCATTGACAGGTCTTTAGTGTACTCTGACTGTAACATGAGGTTGTCAATCTCTTTCAGTGATCGTCAAAAAGAGCTCTCTAAATACGAGTTACACAAAAATATTTTGAATACATTTGAATTAACATTGTTTTGTTAATATTTTTTAATTTGATATTTTTTTCAAGTTTCCTTATTTGACCTTTTGGTGCGGAGGCTTGTCCGGTCTTTAGGTGAGGTTTTAATAGTCTATCCTTCAGTTTTCCATCAACACAGAGTCTATTTAAAAATTTCCATGCTTTCCAAAAAGGGTTGTAAATAGTGGTGGTTGCTATACAGAAGTGGTCTTTCTTGGAGGTTTATAAAATTATTATTCAAGTGGAAACCACTCTTTATATTAGATCAAAATTTACTCTTTCACATCCACTTCATGTATAATTATGAAATTGTAAAGTGTTTAAAATACATTCTTTATGATATAAATGGGGCAAATGTTGTAAGCTAGAATCAAACTATTTCGACTAGGTATCAGACTTAGTTTATAGCACTATCACGTGTATAGATTATTTAATTTCATTGGCATTTGGTATAGACTCTTGTACCATTCAACTCAACTTTAACTGTTATTGTTAAATAATTTTACCTTCTTTGGAAAAAAAAATTTCCACTTAGTATCACAGTTAGAAATGACTCTATTCTGTAGGGATTGAATCTTGTAATGTTTACATATAACACATGTGTGAGATCTAATTTATATTGGTATTCATTCTCTTTACATTCTGTCTGCTATTGTATTATTATTTTTAAAGTCTCTTTTAACTGTAAATGGTTTCTGTAGTTTTTTAAATGATAAAAATTAAGATCATTTTTTTCTTTGTTGTAACTTTTGGTTTAAAAAAAAAATGGAAAATAAATTTTGCTTTGAATATTTTCTTAAAATTGTTGTGTATCTCTGAAGTCTTAATAAAAATTCCTTCGAGAAATTGTGAATATCCTTTAAATTATATTCATGGATCCAAAACAGCATATAATCTTTGGATAATCTGCTGTTTTGGATCTATTTAATAATTTATTGTTAGTTTAATTCTTAAATATATATTTTTTAAACATATTTTGAGTTTTTTTTTTGTGTGAATTTGTTGTTGATAAATTTTTAGACTTTACGATTAATGTTTTAATTTTTTTCACTTCAAAATGTACATCATGTGTTCAAATTGTCAATTCAAATCTATATTTGTTAAATGAATATTTTTTATTTGAATAAATATCTTTTGTTAAATTATATCCCTACCCAAATGTTCTGTAGTTTTAAACAAATAAGAAACATTTATTTTTTCTAATTTAGAAATTTTGCAGGTATGCTCTAGATCTAATAGTAATAAAATAATAGAGCCTCATAGTAAATAATATTATTTATTTTAAAAAAATTAAAAAGTTGAAGTCACGACTCGCTAATGTAGCTGACTAAATGTAAATTGGCAAAATATATATATAATTTTTTTGGTAAAGAATCTGAAGTTTTGAATAGATTTATTTGAATGATTTTGCTACAAACTAAAATACTCAACAAAAAAGATATTTTTAAAAAAAAAACTAGGCTAAGGAGTTGAGATGCCCATTTTAACAGTTTAATAGACATTTAATCAGTTTTTAGTACTGATAATTTTGTGTTCAGTTACATTATTTAGCTACTGATATTAAGCCTATTCATAAATGTCATGAGTTTTTTTTTTTTTTTAAAAGGTTTGTTTGTTTCTTGTAAAGACTAATGGATTACTTTTTACAGACATATATATATATATAAGTAATATCTAATAAAATTTACATTCAACTACTTCTTTTTTCTCAATATATTTTTCTTGGAACTCAAAAGTCAAATTAAAGCTTTTCAATTCTTATTTGTTGTATTAAATTAATTATTAAAAATATTACAAGTGAGGGCATGTTTTTCTTGCACTTCTTATGTATTTTTTTTTTTTAAATTTTATTCTTTCTGATCAGTAAAAAAAAATTATCATTTTAAGTACAATATAATTCGAAGAAAATTGGAAGTCGTCATGGAGAAA